CGGGACCTGCCGGTGCAGTGGACCAGTGATCAGTGTCCTTTACAGAGCAAACGGGAATATTTTATGCTGCTTCTGTCTACAGATCCTTGTGATTTTGATTCCCAAAGTGTTCTTATAGAATCCCAGCCTGGTTTGTGTTGGAAGGGACCTTAAAGCTGCTCCAGCTCCAACCCCTGCCACAGGCAGCGACACCTTCCACTAGAGCAAGTTGCTCCAAGCCCCTGTGTCCAACCTGGCCTTGAACACTGCCAGGGATGGGGCAGCCACAGCTTCTCTGGGCACCCTGTGCCAGCGCCTCAACACCCTCACAGGGAAGAGCTTCTGCCCCAGAGCTCATCTCAGTCTCCCCTCTGGCAGGTTAAAGCCATTCCCCTTGCCCTCTCGGTACATTTTCACTGAATAACACTTGTAACTATCATTGCCATTTACAAGAAAGCTAGAAGGAAGCTCTCAAGAGTACTGAAGATGTAGAGTGTGTCCAGTCTGAGTGTCACCTGCATGTTTGCAGATGTGCAGCTGTCTACACAGAAAGGAAAACCTGAAAAACTAGTGTCCCTGATGCTGACTTCCAAGCTGCAAATCTCATTTTCCAGCTATTCTTGTCTTTGGGATTGCAGTAGGGCTTTTTATTAGCTTTGTTCTTGTTAGGAATCTGTGTGTGAACATATTATTGATTGTTTGGTACATGCACCTGTATGTGTGTGTATATAGGCACACGTGAGAATTAGTGCACTTTGTAACCTGCTTTGTGCGCACGTTTGTGCTGTTTAAGAGTAGTTTATTCAGCTTATGTCCATTGGAGAGAGAATTAAATTAATTCCCCCCAAATTAATTATTTGTTCACACAGATAAATTTCCAGAGGAGTTTAAAACTAATCGTGGCTGTAGAGCTCCTCCGGTGAAATTTATCAATGGGTTTGGCTACAGGGTAGTTTTAATCTTCTTTCCCCTCTTTGGTAACATTTTTTGGTGCATCTGGAAGCACCTAGTGCAGTTGTTATTTCTGGTGCTAATGTTTAGCAGGCAGCTTTTCCTCCTGTGTGCAGTCTGTTAATATTAACTTTCCTTCTGCAAGGAAGCTGATACCCTCATATTGAACTCCTGTAATGTGACATTAGAGCTCTAGCCACAGGAATGGCAAACCAGCACTTTGAAGTAAACTCTCCACTTGGTGTAATAGCTGAGTACTGGGCCTGGTTGTTACAAAAGTGTGGTCAAGTGTTGGGATTTTTTCCTTTGAGTACATCTGGGAAGACAGGTAAGGAGTGAAATCCACATTTGAAATTTGGAAGTGGGTGTTGAGGTTGTAAAACAGTTGATTTCTGCTTTTGTGCTCAACTGTGTTTCAGAAACAGCTTTTCTATTAAGCTGTTCTGTTAAGAACAGAACCAGTAGGTATCAACACTGTTCAGGTAAGTTAGGGCTTTCCAGGAGGCGACTGTCTTGGCAGATTCTTTAACTGGCCTTTTTCCTCCCCTCTCCCAGTATGTTGCATAAAGCCACCAGTTTATTCAGAGAGGAGGGAGGGGTTTTTGCAGTCAGGTTCATACAGTGAAGAATGCGATGAAAAGCAACCAGGGATATCTCCCAAAGAGTCCGGGGTTCTTGAAATATGTGGAAGCTGAGGTGGATGTTAGGTAGAGACTCCTGGAATGTGGTAAGTGTGGCCAGCTGGAAAACCTTCACCTCTGTATTGCAGTGGGAGAAGAGCTTGCAAAGCACTAAAACCTTTCTGGAAGAGTTCCTGGTTAGGAATTCAGGCAGCTGTGTTCTAAAAAGAATGTTGAACACCAAGGCAAATAATGCATAAAACTAGATATGTATAATGCTCTTTGTTTCAGTTTCTGGTCTTTCCCATTTTAACAAAACACTTTTTTTAAGAAATTAATGAAGTCTTAACTTAAAATATTGCTGTGGAATATATGGATGCGGGGAGAGACTGGGAGAGACTGTTGACTGGTACTTCAGGTCCTCTGAAAGAGGAAATCCAGGGCAATGTACAGTGTAATAATACCAGTGGTGCTTCAGACTGAGATTAAAAGGTTTGCACAGGACTGAGCTGTGTTTCATTACTCTTACTTGGAGCTTTTTGTTAATATAGTGGTTAAATAATGTACATTGTTACCATACAGCATTTGACTCAGTTAAAACTAGACTTGGATTTAGAAATAGAGGAGCAATTTAGAAAGAGGAGCATTTTCCACTTCAAATTCTTTGAATAATTTTGTTTCTAAAATAAAAACTGCTTAAGTGCTGTGTGTTGTGAGAAAGGAAACTGATTTGTCATCTGTTTTGCCTTAACAGGGTGGAAGAAGGAATCTCCCTACAGCATCCACTACAAGTTTGTCATCTCCCATCGGACCCTGCTAAAGGCCATCATGCAGCAGCCTCCGCAGCCTGTGCCAGCAGGAGCAGCAGCTCCCCCTCCTGCCGGCATCGCTCGGAACATGTACTGGAGAAGCAGCTCACTCAGTAAACGAGCAAATGCAACAGCTGCCCCGGTGCAGCCTGTGACAGACCCGTTTGCATTTGGCAGACAGACTGCACAGAGTTCCTCTTTAGATAATCCATCCAAGGGCAGTGCATTGGTTATGCAAAGCTCTCCCCCGGCGGGGAGTCCGCAGCCAGCCCTTACGCACACTTCACCACGGGCAGGGGACAATCCTCATGGACTGCACGCACCTTTAGCAGCTCCTGTACCTCAACCAGGAATCAATCCCAGTACGTTTTCTAATGTTCCAGTTCCTTCTCCGTCCCCAGGATATGTTATGAACAGTACTACAGAAGTGCATCCAAATGCAGATCCTGGATTCCGGGGACCTGCGGTGCCATTGCACTATAATACAGGAGCAGCAGTTGAAAATTCTTTCAGTGTGCATCCTGGAATGGCTGCATCAAACAAACCTGGAGGTAGACAAGATGTCAGCAGAGGTCCAAATGACATTCCTTCAGGACCCAGCACAGCAGCGTTCTTCCCTCCTCCTCCTCCTCAGCAGCCTGTGTCTCAGTGGAGGCCTGTTCAAGGTAACCTGCAGTCTCCAGTTCGAAATTTTGTGCCCTATCCTGAGCTGTCTTCCCAGATCGACCTTCATAACATTTCTCAGTCTTCTGTTAGCACTTCTCATCCTCCTCTGCAGGCAAATTTACAGCAGGGTCCTGTGCACCAAGGTATTCCACTAAATGCCATGCAAGCGCCTTCAGCCGTTGGTTGTGAAAAGAATGGGAAAACTGGCTCAGCAAATAGCAGTCACCACATGAACAGCATCCAGCCTGGCAATGTGTTCAGGCAGAACACAGAAATGACTAATGCTTGGTTAAGTCAACCCTACCAGGAACAGTTTTACCCACAGCCACCATTGCAAGACTCCAGTTTTGTCCTTCCCGCAGCTCAGGAAAATAACCCCCAAAACCAGGCTCCGGATATGTCTGAAACAACAAATAGACCTATTCCCACAGATCGAGATTCAGGAACTCTCTCCATGTTTTTCAAAGGGGATGAGGCAGAAAATGAAGAAATACTTTCATCTGAAAAAAATTACATGGTTGAGAAAACAGAGTTTGATGCTTGTCAGCCCAATTCAGCATCCTTGTACCACCAGCCAGTGCATCCTCAGCGCGTGGCAGCGAATGTCCTTGCTCAGGCACAGGCTGGTGCAGGTTCAGTCAGTGAGATGCTACAAAAGGGAATGGATCAGTACTTCCCTAAAATTGTAAGCCAGCAGGAGGCACAGGCCACTAAGCACTCCATGTTTGTTGGTGACGACAAGGCACATATAGGTGACATGTCTGGTGGGTCACAGTATGAGAATGTTGAGAACCTGGAGTGCATTCAGAATCAAGAAGTGCTGCCAAGTGAACCACAGAACATGAGTGCTTCATCCCCTGCTGCTGGCCCTGATCTGTACAGATACGGATCCTTCCCAGGTCAGGTGCTTCCAAAGAATGCTGTTGTGAGCCATGCTGAAGGAGGACCAAATTTGGAGGCACCTGATTCATTACCTCATCCTGTCCGACCAGATAGTGTCTCTTCAAACTACAGCACCGTTAGCCACAGGAGTGCTTCCAGCTCAGCAAGGCCTCAAGAGCAAGTCGGTACATTTATTCAGCAAGAAAGTGGGAAGCCTGATGAAGAATCTTCTGCTAGTTTCTTTAAACAGATTGACTCCTCTCCCCTAGGAGTTGATTCCAGTGAGCTAAACCTGGGCAAGACCTACCATGGTCATCTGTCCCAGCCTCCAACCCCAAGCCCCCCTAAGCCTACAGGAGTGTTTCAGACAAGTGCAAATAGTTCTTTTGAACCTGTGAGGTCCCATGGAGTTGGTATAAAACCTGCAGAGATTGACCAAGCAAAGATGGTGGTTGAGTTAAGAGAGAACCACTCAAACCAGAAGAATATCAAGAAGAGTGCAGCTGTGCCAGCTGCATCCCCAGGCAATCTCGAGCAGCCACCAGATAATCTGGAGACTATTTTCATGCCTCAGGTACACCCACTGCCTCTTGCAGTCACTGGTGAAGCTGGAAATAAGTTGCACTCTGGACATGTTATGGAAAACATACAATCAGTATCTGAGCGAAGGTCCTCAACAAGAGCTCAGGGAGCAGTTAAGAAGTGTGATAGCCCAGCAACAACTCTGTGGGCTCATAATGAGTTGCCTAATTTTGGGGGAAATGTTCTTCTAGCTCCTGCTGCTCCTGCAGTGTATGTACCTGCCAAACAAACTGTAGAAGTCATTCAGCCGCCAGAAGAAGGCCTGTCTAATCAGCAGCCAAGCAAACCAGGGACTATGGGTGTGCAGCTGCCCCAGGATGGAAATATAACTTCTGAAAATCTGGAGAATCCTCCCAAAATGGGAGAAGAGGAGGCACTTCAGTCTCAGGCAAGTTCTGGTTATGCAAGTTTGTTGTCTTCTCCACCTACAGAGTCTTTGCAAAATCAGCCTATCCTGATTGCTCAGCCTAATCAAAGCTATAACTTGGCTCAGCCAATTAATTTTTCTATTTCTCTATCTAATCAGCTAAGCAGCAATGAAAACAATCAGCCAGTGAAGGACTCTGGGCTTGGGGACAAGCCTGGAATGAGTCCCCAGCCCTTGCATGCTGGTGGGATCATTGCTGGGGAAAACATGCCATTACCCGTGATGCAAGTTGGATCTCTCTTAGTGAATGCACTTCCAAATACTAATCTGTTAAAACATAATTTATTACAAAGCCCTGTCAATTCCTCTGATGCTGCTTCTAATCAGCCTGCAAACTTGCTTATGAAAACTCCACTTAATTTGGCTCCAGAAGGGCAAAAGAATGTTAATATGGAAGGTTTTGTTCCTGAATTCGCCAGCAAGCCAGGGTCTAACTCATCCGTTTCTCCTGGGACAAGTCTCCCCAGCGGAAGTGCAAGTGCACTGCTCCCCCCTGTTAATTCTGTAGTACAGGCTAATAGTTGTGCAAATCACTCAAATGGCAAAGAAGAAGCTGCTGCAGTGCTCGACTTCACAGTGACACAGACGGTGGAGACAAGCAGTGCAAGTAATTCTGTACAGGTGCACAATCAGTCACTTCCTGCTGGTCCTCAGCACTCAGCTGGTCAGGGGCATCCTGAGATGCATGACAAACATTTCTATCAACAGGTGACAAAAGATGTACAGCATCAGGCTGTATCAGACAGAGCTGCACAGGGAGCGTTGCCATCTCAACCACAAATGCAAGTAGCTCAGATGCAGCAGCCAGCATCATCTGGGAAGCCCTCGCTTCCTTCAAACTACCAGGTTGCTGCAGGAACTAAGGCCATGCAGGCATCACAGCAGCATGAGAACCAGGTGCTGAGCAGCCATCCTCAGCCTGTGGGACCCCAGGAGGCAAGTTCAGCACAGCAGCCAACAGGGTACGATCAAACGAGTCCTGACAAGCAGCGAGCATCTGGACAGCCGCCTGGTGCTCCAACATCTACAGCCCCTTCAAGCACCACCAGTCAGCCAGCCATGCCAAACGTGCAGCAGGACCTGCAGCGTCCATCCCTGCCTCAGACTCCTCAGGATGCCTTTGGTCCGCCCCAGAACCCTTACTACTACTACAGACATCCTTACGATCCTTACCAACCTCCATATCCACCACCTTATCCTCCTGCAGACCCCAGAACAGCAGCTCATCTTTATTACATGGTAAATCCTTCTTTTCCCCTTCCTCCCTCCTCAGTATGCATTAGTAATTTTCATCTTTGAATTGCAAGTTTAAACAGTTGTGTTGTGCCCAGCATTCAGTATAGCGTTCATGTTAAATATTGAATTGTAGGGGAAATCCAGATAGCAGTGACAAAACTTGTATTACAGAGCTGATAAAAACTTAAAGTAGTTGTACAGATGTCAGCTTGGTTCTTTGGGAAAAGGTGGCAGTGGTAACTGTTTAGCTGCTCAGGAGTTCAGGTTTGGTTCCCATCTGCTGCCTGGGTTATTGGCAGGTTAGCAGAGTGGCCAGCACAGTGGTTGAACAGCTTTTAGTCCAGACATAATGGTTTTCCCCTAAGTTTGACATATTAAAGACTTGAATATAACTTGCCACAACAGGTACTGAAAGCTGTACTGTAGCCTATTGATCTGCACCCTCCAGGTACCACAGTTGTGGTGTGTATGGTGATTATTTGGTTTTAAGGGTTTATTCTCAGGGGTGGGAAGCCTCCTCCCTTACGTGTCAATCTCTTTTCCAGGAGGATACCTACGGACAGTATGACCCCCGGTACCGACACTACGACAGCACCAGCACTGCTTACATGGAGCCCGGGAGCTACCGGTATCCTGAGCCTGAACGTCCGAGTTCCAGAGCAAGTCACTGCTCTGACAGGCCGCCTTCTAGGTATGCAGTTCCTAAATTGAGTAAAATCAGAGTACAGGCCCTGCAGCAGTGAGTGTAATGATGGCTGTTGAAGTTTTGTAGCTTAAGCCTCAGTGAGGAAGTTCAAAAACTCATTGTGTGCTGCCATAGGAACGGGCAGTATCAAATGCCATGTCTGAAAAGGATACGATTCCACAGCCTTTTCTGTTGCTGAAGCTTATTACTCCTTTCATTTAGTTCTCTGGGCGGTTGCTGGCGTTTCTGCCAGGCAGGAGGTCACTGTGGTGGACTTGGTGCTGAGATTAGCTCTGAGAGATGATGAATCAAGTGAAAACATTCTGGTGCTGCCTCAGGTTAACCTATCTGATGGTCGCTTCAGCTGTGTGGATCATCTTTCTCACAAAACTTCCAAACTCCGTGTAGCAAAGGAGCTATGTGGGCATGTTCCACCCACTGACTTCACTACAGGTTTTGATGCACGTAGCATGTGGATCGGGAAAGCTTAAAAGTCTTGGTCTGTCTCATGATGTGAAATAAAAAAATTGAGAGAGGGAAATAATGTGCTCAGACGCTACTTGCAGATACTAAATACAAAGCAGAAATGGGATCTCTAGTATTTCTTAAGCAAGAAGCAGCAAGTTACCTTCCAGGGATTACTGCTTTCTTTTGCAAAACTGATTTGTATGAACTTCAAATTAATGATGACATGTTACTGTTGCATTACCTGGTCGGTGGGTTTGCAGGTTTCCAAGAGAGAGCCCCAGTTACCTGTCTGGAAATGATGAAACCCTTTGTTGTAGTTGTCTGTTGTTGGCAGCTCACTTAATGGAGCAGTCTTCAGATTAAAAATACATTTTGCTTACCACCTCCAGAAGATTATAGGAGGTGCATGTTGGCCTTGAGGAGTACACACGGATGGCTGTAGCTGCATTTGGTAACTTTTATCACCTTCTCAAGTGAATCTAAGTGCACTGTGAGATCTTGTAATGAGATAATAACCTCCAGTAGCACTTCCTGGTGCCTGTTCGTCTTATGTACTATTTTTATAAGAGGTGGAAATGCCTATAGGTGGCACCGAGCAGATCAAAGCCTGTTGGGAGCAGCTCTGCGGTGTGTGTTGAGGTGTGACGTGATACTGCAGGTGGATGTGGACTGTGGTACAGTTCTGCAGGGCAGCAGAGCCTGGGAGTGGCAGAGTCAGTGATAGCATGTCTGAAAGTTGCCTTGAATGTGGCGGTGTTAATGATGCAGCTTTGGAAACTCTGGGGAGGGGAACAGTATCTCTCTGCAGGAGACTGAGCAGATTGTTTGGGTGGATAAACCTGATCTGATAAGATCACATCTCCTCCTCTGCAGAGGCAGGTGCTGTGTTAGCAAACTTCCCACGTGTTCCAGGGAGGAGCATCTCTTGCATTGCTTGGCTGCTTTGGAGTTTGTACTATCAGTTATATGATCAGCTGTAGAAGACCATCAAAGTTCCTGTTATTCCACATTATGTATCTTTACCTCCTGTGCATGTTTGTGTACATGTGTGTGAGAATATACACATATTGTAGATACAAATATACGTGTACCTGTACATACAAGTAGACAAACTACATTTTTCACCTAACATTCATCTTCTAGCCTTTTTCATAATTGTGGGATGGTCCCAAAAATGACATTCAGTCAAGGCTCATGATTTTTCGGGTAGCAGCCACAGCTTGTTTTTTCCATCAGAAGTATTCTGATTATCTTTTCTTTATGCATGCATGGACTCCTACTTTGCTGTGTTGGTTTAGTCAGGGTCTGGTGCTTGTTGTGTTGATGTAGACAATCAGTATTTTAACATGGGCTCTGTAAATCAGTAATTTCTTCCGTTCAGTCCACTCTATTTGCTGAAATGAAAACCAAACCTTTCCTACACTGCTGCCCATCCAAGCCTGGAGTTAGTTGTGTAGTGATGTGCTGTGTTACAGTTGCATCTCAGTGCTATCTCATTTATTCACTGAAGTATTAAATGTAAGGATGTTCTAACACTCAAAACATTGCTGCATCTACTGAAAAGCTGAGCTTGAGAAACAGACTGAGAGCAGAATGAAAATAAGGCATTGGGATTGTGGTAGCACTTGTCCTGCACTGTTGGTATTGACTGGCTTCAGCTCCAGGCTGAACAAGGTGATGCAATATTGAGTTCTTTGGCCAGGTACCCAAAGAAAGGTGTTGTGTGTGTTGGGTTTGTTTCTTTTCTGACTATATTTAACACTGGTGATAGGTGCCCCAGAGGCTGAAACCCTCTGTTCAGAATTATTGATGAAAGTGGTAGTTCAGGTCCCGACCCATTTCCACAATCCCTTCTCCAGACTGCAGTCCTCATCACTGTAAGATGTATAACAAAACACTGTTCAAGCCGAGCGAGCAATTGTTTCGTTACTGGAGTTACTGACTTCCTGTTGAGACAGTTCAAAGGATGTTAATTATAGCAGGAGTTTTAGTAGTTGATAGTCTGTAAGTGATTAAACTTACCACCAAAGCAGTCTACAAAAATCATTGTATTACAGTAAGGGCTGTCAGCTTCTTATGGCCTGCATAAATTTAGCGATATGTTGGTTTTGTAGAGTCTTAATTTTATGATTCCTTGATTTCCTGTAAATGCGTTCTTTTCATATGAGCCTCTACCTAACCAGTTGTGGCACACAGCTCTTCGTATCACCTGCTGACTTCAGAAGAGACTGAAGAGGAATAATGACTTTCCACACTTCTGCCCTTTCTTTCAGGCAAGGGTATGCTGAAGATTATTATACCAAAAGTGGATGGAGTGATTATTACTCAGGCTATTACCCAAACTCATATGATTATGGAGGTAAGGTCTCAAAATGAACTGTGAATTTTTCTATAGGAAATTATGGGAATGAGGAACTTTAAGATCAGAGAATTATTATGCTTTTCCATATTAATAAAACTAATAAGTTCCACAACCATCAGGAGTGAGGTAATACTTGCTGAAAACTGGTCTTTGGACTTACTTGAGTTCTTCATACCATGCCATCCTTCCTGGGTTTTATTTAGTAGAAGTAGTAAATAGAAAGTAAGCTTTTTCCTCACTCTCAGCCTTCAGTGTGCTTTCCATTGTGAGAGCACACCAATGTGAGTCTACACAGTAGTTTTCTTCAATGTGTTGCAAGCCTGTCATTCACTGAGGTGTATCCTTGGTGTGTAACCTACAGGCAGACTGGGAAAGTAAATTTTAGGTGGGTGTAACCAGAAATTGACTCATGATTTGTATTTGGTTTGTCCATGATGATCTGCTCACAGAGACATTCTGGCCTTGGTAATCTGCAGATAATTGCTTGTATGGTCCCTGGGAGGATTTAAAGCAACATCTGTCCACATCCCAAGGCATTGGGCACAACGCTCTAGAGACTGATCACAAAGATTCTGTTAATACTTGTTGAGTTATCATGTTATAATCAAGTTTTAAAGTTGTTAGAAGAGCTCTGTCTGTCTGGTGAATGCTGTCCCTTCAGCTATTTGTCATATCTGTGGTTCTCTGAAAGGTGGGAAATTGATTTTTTTTTTTGAGTTGTTTTTGTTTGATTGGGTTTTTTAACTAAAAATGAGTGGACATATTTAGGTAGCTTTGAGTACATTATTTTGGGTTTGCTATATGCTTCAGGACAAAATCAGCATGTCATTAAGGAGAAAGGAGTAGGAAAAGGTTAGAGGCAACAGCTTCCAATAGCTAAACCATTTCTTTTTATTTCCCAAAGATCCAAGTCGCTGGGAACGTTACTCATCAGCATATGACCCCAGATACAGAGATCCTAGAAGCTATGATCAGAGGTATTGGTATGATGCTGAGCACAACCCTTACCAGAAGAGAGAAGCGTATCCATATGGAAACAGGTTTGTTCATTTGATCCATGTTCCCTCAATTCTCTTTCCAGATCTTGGACAGCGCAGGCCTAGGTGCTGATGGTGATCAGAGAACTAGTGTGTGTGTCCAAGTGGAGGTGGAGAATCTGGTATTGGTTTCTTGAGGGTCGAGTCCCCCCCAGTCAAGTGTGTCACCAGAAAATGAAGTTATGGTAGTAAGTGTTAAGACAAAGGCTGAGGCTTTGCTTGTGATCTAACAGAAATGCTACTTCATTTGCTGAAGCTCTGTCCCAAACCCTTCAGAGGTTATGAACTGTTCTGATAGTTGTATCAGGCATCAGGGTTTTGTAGTATCATGCAGCTTTGTAAGTAAAATCCTCTCAATATTCTCTAGGAATGCAGAGGCATCCTGTAACAGACTGTTGAAGAGCAGTATTACCGATGTATTTGCTAGTCCTTTCTTTAGCTTTAGCATAGATCATTGAGGAAAACAAATGAGCTGTCATGTCAGTGAAGAAAAAGATTTGAGAACTTGCTTTCAGATGGGTGAATATTTTGTGGGTTTTCATACTCAAGAGTCTCTTCTAGGATGTTAGTTTGATCTTGAATATTCTGGATGAACTTCTTGAAGAAATACCAGTTTTTTTACTGTAATAATCTCAGTCTAGGAAATAATCTCCAAGCTCTGCTGGAGTTAGGTACAGTTTTCTTCTTGGCAAGTGTGCAGCGAAGTCACTTCCCTCAGGGATATGGGTGGCTCTGTTCATGTTTGGTTTGTATGTTTCTTTGCTCTCCAGACATGACCGATATGATGATAACTGGAGATATGACCCTCGTTTCACTGGCAGCTTTGATGATGACTCTGAACCCCATCGAGATCCTTACGGTGATGAGTTTGACAGGCGCAGTGTGCACAGCGAGCACTCTGGCCACAGTCTGCGGAGCTCCCGCAGTGTTCACAGTCACCAGAGCAGTTTCAGCTCTCGCTCTCAGCAGGTGAGTTTCAGATGGTCGCAGCAAGTATTCTTTCAGCTGAGTTGGGCCTTTCTCTGTTTAGGGTGGGCAAAACATGAGAAATATGGAAATATTTCTGGGTTTAGCCTGGGGGAAAGTGCATTTTGAAAACTTTTATTCTGTAAGTCAAGGCTGGTTTGTAACATAGTTTTGAACTTAATATTTGTCACAGTTGTCAAAAGAACTTTAACCAAAATCAGCACTCAACTGTGCATGTTGCCACACACGCAGAAATGGAAAATTTCCTCTACTGAATCCATTTGCTGTTTGTGAGAACTTTGCCCTTACTGTGCTTGGCTGTAGTTGATGTGTCTGGCTTTGGGTTATGTTAATTTTCACATCACAAGCATGAATGTTATTACTGAACTTGGGATCTCTTAAAAGACTAACTCTGTATTTGAATGATGCTCTTTTGACTCTAAAAGCAAAACCCAAATCTAACTGATTGCTCATCTACTTATGCCATAAGTACAAATACCTGAAAAACACAGAATGTTTGGGTAGCTTTTGAGGTAGTCTTTGCTACTGGAATGTGCCACTGTAGCTGTAGTCTCGTGTTGATTCAGGATGTTTCCCGGAAGGTTTAGGTGGTTTTCCAGTCTGAATGCAAATTCATTAATATTGGAAGTAGGATTGGAGATCGTTTAGGCATTCATGTGTAGGCACCTGAAGTCATTTAGTCATTCATCAGGTTTAATCAGTTGGGATTTTCTGTCAGAGTGTTACAGCAGAGGTGAATGTTGCTTCTGATCCATAGCTGCTGATGCAACAACACTTGTAACTTGTTCTGTGATGATGTTGTTCACACAAGCACATTGACATTCTGTTGTGAGAGAACTGGATGTACTTGGAGGTGAACAGATCAAATGGTAGTGAAACACGGGGAGAACATGAGAACACGGAGATACGAATTATCTTCTCTAGCCTGTTGCTGCAGGTGGATTGCAGGGGAGCTTCTGCCATAGCAGAGATGTAAGAAGCCTGGTTTATGAGCAGTATAACGAATCAAAGCCAGAGGGGAAACACGCTTACTGCCTTGGCTCACGCTTGCAGTGTTGCTTGCTCTGTGTAACTTCATGCTCTCTGCTAACAGTTACTAATATGATCTATTTAGAGCCAGCTGTATAGGAGTAATCACGATCTAACGGCTAATACGTATGAAACCGCGCAGGCAGCGTCACTCCATGCAGATTATCCCTATGGTGGATACGCTCCCAACTTTGATGGACAACAGCCTTTTACAGATTATGGCTACCCGCCTGAAACTGGATGGTCAGCAGTGGAACAAGGTACTGGCACCACTGGGGAAGCAGGAGGGAAAGCATGTGCTTGTGAGGTCGTCCACCCATAGCAGTTTACACTGCTGTGAATGTTGGTTACTGTTTGTAGTATATGAGATGCCTTTCGTTCAGTGAGCCTGTAACAGGAAAAAACGCCTGGTTCACTGTGTATGTGCACATGAACAAAGTTCTGTTCCCTTTCCAGGATAAGGATAACTTGCTTCTTGAAACCTGGGTATATCACAGAACAGCAGTAGCTACACAGTGTTTGCTATTAAATACTTCATACTTCCGCTTGTAAATGTCTTCTAGATAGATTTTTAACCATGCTGCTTATGCTTCTTGAGTAATGATTATAAAGTTTAGCTTAAACTTCAGATTTTCCCTTAGTTTCTTCTTGCCCTTTTGGTGTGGAGCAAAACAGTGTTTCCCTGGAAAAGCTTTTGCAGAATATGTTGAAGTATATCATTAGCTCTTTGAAGGTTAATCATGTATTTGTAGAGATCATGGAAATGTGTCTGATACAAATAATCAAAGCCCCTACGTTGACAAAATAAGTGGACTTTAAAGTTCTGTAGCTTAGCTTTGTTCTTGTTGCAAATCTTTGAGGCTATGGTGGAACTGATTGTTGCTTGTAAAGTTTAGTCAAATTGAGTGGCAGGGTTTTTCCATCAGTACTGCAGGCTTACTGGTTTGGATAAGTACATCAGCAAGTTTACTCAGTTGCAAGACAGGTTACTTGTTCTTACTTTCTTGTTTCTTCCCATTTCAGCACCTTTAAGGCCCTCAACACCTGAGAAATTTTCAGTGCCTCATATCTGTGCCAGGTTTGGTCCTGGAGGCTTCTTAATCAAAGTGCTGCCAAACCTGCCTTCAGAAGGACAGCCAGCTCTGGTTGAGATACACAGTATGGAGGTAAAGCTTACAAGAAAAAAGGGAGGTGATGCATACAGGTCGGCCTTTTGGAAGGGGAGTGGGCAACTTGGATCTATAGCTTTGGACTTTTTAATATGTCAACACATGTACCTTTATCTGTTTGGGCTGTAATTGAAAGTAAACCGGTAACTCAAAAAATTCTTTTCCTCTGGTTGATGAGGTTGTCTTGATCAGCTCATCCAGCTCCTCATGGGGGTTGAATGTCGTGGGTATATTTTCATTCTTCTTGTGCCACTACAAAGAAATGCAATACTAAAGTCATGTAAAATACGTGGAAGGATGGGCTTATGTGATGCGGGTAAAACTCATTGGTAAATGAGGGAGTAGAACTGTACATAATTACTTTGTGGCACAAGTCTGAAATTATTTGACTTGATTTTAGGGGTCTTTTCCAGCCTAAATGATTCTATGATTAAGGAAATGTGAGGGAGATCTTTATATTTTGCTACAGAACGGCCTCATGTAGAGTAGATTTCATCATTTATTATCCTTGTGCAAGTCCCCATGTGCATTTTGTTTAAGAGCTTGATTATACTGTTGGCTATGTCCAGGTCTGGGGTTTTTGCTGCTAAAACGCAAAATTCATAGTTACAAGAATTTCTCATGGACTGTATTTGTGTTTTAGACTATGCTACAACATTCTGCAGAGCAAGAAGAGATGAGAGCGTTCCCTGGTCCTCTTGCTAAGTATGTTCTTACAGATTTCAGATTTCATTTCTTCACTGAACTCTTGTCTGCAAATTACAGATTTAAACTGACTTACAATATCTGTGTCTTTTCACCTGCTTAAATAATAGATGGTCTTTAAATTTGTTCCTCATACTAATCACAGTTATGATCTCAGTGTTATCTTTTCCCTCATTGAAACCTTTCTTCTTCCTTTTCTTTTCCCCCCTTCTCTTTGTTTTCAGGGATGACACCCATAAAGTGGATGTTATTAATTTTGCACAAAATAAAGCTACACAGTGCTTTAAGAATGAAAACTTAATTGACAAAGAATCTGCAAGTCTGCTCTGGGACTTCATTGTACTGTTGTGCCGGCAGAACGGGGTATGTCTCACTGCTTGAGTTTTCATCTGTCCTAAAATGGTTTCTACACAAAATGGTGTTTATGTAAAAGACAGTGATGTGTGTATAGAGACTTATCTTGGGATAGTTATGGCATTGATGGGACAGGTAAACTGTCCCCAGGTGCTCAGAGGTGGTGACAGTCACATATTGTTGTTGCAATGACAAATAAAATGAAGGCAGTGTTGAAATATCAGACTTTATTTTCTCTACATGTACAGACTGTTGTGGGAACAGACCTGGCAGAACTTCTGCTCCGAGATCATAAAACTGTGTGGCTTCCTGGGAAGTCCCCTAATGAGGCGAATCTGATTGATTTCACTAATGAGGCTTTGGAACAAGTGGAAGAAGAATCTGGTGAAGCCCAACTCTCGTTTCTCACGGATAATCTTCTAACCACAATCGACAGTCTTGAGAAAGAGACAGAGAGATTCAGAGAGTTGTTGCTTTATGGCCGCAAGAAGGTGAGTGCTTGTACTGTTGTTCCAAATCTGCATCTGTCTTATTTTGTTCACTTATTTGTCACAAATCTGGAAGCTTGAGGCATCACTTAAAATAATTTTTGCCACTTGCATGAATATAATATTTCATGGCACTGCACTATGCTGATATGGAAAAACGTGATGCCCTACAGTCTGTATTATAAAACAGTTATATTCATGTATTAGCAGCTGATCTAAACAAAGTCACCAAGTACTACTGTAAAGCATTCATTGTTTATCTGAGTGGTATGTTAAGCTATTCCCAGGAAACTGATTTCTGTATTCATTAGGATGCTTTGGAGTCTGCCATGAAACATGGTTTATGGGGTCATGCTCTGCTACTTGCCAGCAAAATGGACAGCAGAACACATGCAAGAGTTATGACCAGGTACTGTTTTGCTTGTTGATTAGTACAATGTGATTTATTCTGCTAATGACTTAGAGACTTGGTGCTCAGAAACCTTAATGACAAAATTATGAGTTATCCTTAGGACTTCGTACAAGAATTGTTTTCATTTTACCTGTACATAACAGTTGTCATCTGTTATGCCTCAATCTGGGGCCTTCTGGCCATAAATTTAAACTTGAGAAGTTATTCTACGCCACTCATTCCATTTAAGGGGTATTTGAACAGTGTCATCATGGGCTTCCTTGACAGGTGCTGTTAGTCAGGCTTTGAAAAAACTGCAAAATCCCAACTGTCAGCTTTGTTAAAGCCAAGGAGCAATGTTCTACCCTTCATTGTCCTTGCCTGCAGGAAGTAGATGTCTTCGTGCATGCTGTAGACAGAAAAACATTTTCTCGGGTTCCTGAGCTTGTGAAATCACGTACTAAGTCTGGTCAGCTGCCGTGGGGGGCATCCTGAGGTTTTTCCTAGCTTGGACTGACCTGTATCAAAGTGGCAGATCCAGTTAACTACTGATGTTTTGCTTGTGAACATTATCCTCTGGGCAATTGCTTATTTATTGTGGTATTTTAGGACAGCGCTTCCTTCTCTTAAACTAAGCTAGATTAACTGCCACTGAGTGTTCATGTACATTTCAACAGCTTACCCATGCTTGTGTTTTGTTTCTCTGTGTAATGTCTCTGTAGATTTGCCAACAGTCTCCCAATTAATGACCCTCTGCAGACTGTTTACCAGCTCATGTCTGGAAGGATGCCAGCTGCATCCACGGTAAGATTCAAGTGTGAGCTGCAGTTGAGATTCAAGAGTTGCTGCAGTGAGTGGTGTAGTTCACAACAGTAATCTCTGCTTTTCCTAGAATGTGAGATAAGTTGTTTTGGTCCTTTTTAGGTTGAAACACTTACCCATGCAGAGCTCCAGTCACTGATTTGACTAAGTAATTCTTCTAATTTTAGTGCTGTGGAGATGAAAAATGGGGAGACTGGAGGCCTCATCTAGCAATGGTGTTATCCAACTTGACCAATAATGTGGACTTGGAATCCAGGACCATTGCTACCATGGGAGACACTCTTGGTAACTCTTGGGGAATGAACAGGGTGATAACTGAAGGAAAAGCTTTCTGGAAGCTTTAATTGCTCAGCTTATTTTCTTGAAAACAGGCAATTGCTGTGTGAAATGTAAAGGGGAACAGTTTTATGTGGGCATGTCTCTGTTGGGAAGGTGTTTGGATGCAAAGCCAAACCAGTATAAGACACTGAATTACAGTGTGTCACTGAGAGGAAATACCCTGAGTTCTGTCACTTATTTCTCTGCAGCTTCAAAAGGCCTGCTGGATGCTGCTCATTTTTGTTACCTTATGGCCCAAGTTGGTTTTGGAGTTTACACAAGGAAGACAACAAAGCTTGTCCTGATTGGATCAAACCATAGGTTTGTCTTTCTCTTCTGTTTAAAAACCATGATTTTTTTAGATGCAAAAATGAAAGACAGTGGCTTGAGAGACTGAGTTGCTCTGCTCCTCTTATCACCACTAGCCACAGCTGGCTTTGAGATAACTCTGGTGCCCTGTCCTTGTTTGATATTGTGTGTTTACCAGAGCTGTTTCTGACTTTCTCTCTGATTGACAGGTCTGTACTTATTGTCAGCATGTGTCATCTGAATGTTAACTAGTGTTTTTCCTCTCCCATTCCCGAATAGCTTGCCATTTTTTAAGTTTGCCACCAATGAAGCCATTCAAAGAACAGAAGCCTATGAATATGCACAGTCCCTGGGAACTCAGCCTGGCTGCCTACCCAACTTCCAGGTGAGGAGCTGATTCTTTTTGATTGCTTTTGTTTTGGCAGGTTTAATGGGAGGTTTCCATCTCTGATGCGCTATATTCAGCACAGCAAATACTTTCTCCATTGTAACATGAAATATTTGTGGATAACGTGGTGCAGGATAACTTCTTCCTGTTGTCCCTTAAATCTCCTTTTCATTTTTGTCATCTGTGCATTCTGAACTTGCTTATTTTTAATTGTATTATTGTAATTCTATATCCCAAAAGGAAAATGCAGCAGAACTTGGTGCTGGCTGTAGTCAAATAGGTAACTTCCATTCAATACATTGGATGGAAGAGGAGAATTCTGTTCTTTTTCCCTAAATTTTTTTTCCCTCCTAGTACAGATGGGATAATGGGATCTGAGCTTATAACTGGAATGACAGACTGCCTTTCATTCAATACTTCCACGAATGTTCTGCTCACTTGGTGTATTTCACCTGCTTGCATTCCACAGGTTTTCAAATTCATCTATGCTTGCCGACTAGCTGAAATGGGACTTGCCGCTCAGGCTTTCCATTACTGTGAAGTGATTTCCAGAACAGTCCTGAAAGACCCACATTACTATTCACCTGTACTTATTGACCAGCTAATCCAGGTAACACAGGAGGAATTCACTATTGGTGGCCTTGTATTGTAGGTGGTAAGCTGTGGCTGAGGTTGCCTTTTGTTGGCTGGTTAATTTAAGCTCTACAATGATTCCTTTCTGTAGATTTCATCCCAGCTGCGCCTGTTTGACCCACAGATAAAAGAAAAACCAGAACAGGAATCTTTCATTGAACCTTCTTGGTTAGTAACGCTTCGACATGTGGATGGACAGATCAAGGTACAGAATGTGCTTTTCAACATGAAGTATTCTCTTCTAAGGATTAGTGTAAATCGCTTTTTTAAGTGGCTTTGTTCATGCTGCTAAGTACAGAAGCACCTGAAACGACCTTATGATATGTTCATTTTGTAAAATTCAAGTGTTATGGTTTAAACCAAGTGGATTTACCACATGTAAGTGCCCCAGGATTCAATACAGAATAGTTGGTGCACGTTACACAAGACAGGTTTTTCCTAGTGCTGTAATGCAAGGAGGATTGCAGGGCTCATGAAGCTGCAATAACTCCTGCTGTAAGCAGAGGATCTGCTTGCCAGAAAAAAGTATGTGTGAATTAGTGTTGCTAGATTGTAACTGAGTGGAAATTATTACCATTTATTTACAGAGATCTGTTAAAATGGGACCCTTGAGCTGATTAACTAAAATTCCCTCTTAAAAAATGAACAAAAAACCACCCAAACTTTAAATTATTTGATTGAATTTGGCCTGCAAATGGCTGGCAACACATTTTATGGCTAACCACTAAAAAACCCAGTGGGCTCTTTCACTTTTAAGATTTCCTTTGCTATATGTTCCCTTGGTTATGAACTTAATAAGATCTTGCTTTTTTGTGCAGGAGGGTACAATAGCTTATAACACAGACAGATCCACCCCACCACCATATGCCTGTAGTACACCAAGCTCTGAATTAGACCGTGCTAGTCAATGTGATGGAGCAGGAGTTGGCCATGACATGGGTCCAGGTGCTGAAAATGCATTGTTAGCATCCTTACTACCCAATGTGGCCCAACAGATGCAAAGTGTGCAGCTCATGCCTTCAGGTAAGTGCTTCATATCCTTCTTCGTGACAGAAAATAAACATTTCAGGTTTCTGGAATAGAAGCCACTTAAGAGAGTGGCAGAAACAGTGAGATTTCACTTCTGCATTGTATCCTCTTATTAAAAGGTTCACACACTGGAATTTGTTTAGTTGTAACTCTTAATGTTTTTATTTTGTGCTGCAGTACCTCAGGCTGACCTTGATGGATCAGCTGCTGTGATTCCTCCTGGTGACCAGGAAGCTGTCCGAAGTGTCCCTTTCTATCCAGTGGCTTCCCAGTCTATTGGTCCAGGACATGGCTTTGCACCTCCAGGATTTTCAAATCCTTATGGAACTGAACCATCACCACTGTATTTAGGGTCAGCAGTACCACCAGGGGGGCCTCCACAAGAAATTGAACCACGGGCGGAAGAGCAGACAAACCTGGAAACAGGTCTGTGGTATCAGTAAACAGCTTTTCTTCCTTATAAGGGGAATGAATTATTTTAGGGAATAATGTCAAATATCTCAGTATTTAGAAAACAGTAAGTCAAGTCTTGTAATGAAATTTGGACCCACCATGTAATGGCACAGAAACATCTCTGGAGAGTTTCAGTATTTATCCTGCTTATTTGGCCTGGTTTAAAAGAGAGGTCAGACTCAGCAGATTATGGTCTCGACCCTGAGTGCACTGGGCTGGGCAGTTCAGTTTGTGAGGTCTGTGACTGGAGTCTAAGGGATTTCTGCCTCGGACATCAGCTCCTGCAACCCTGATAAGTTTTAATTCGGTGTCAACAGAACTTGTGAAGGCATCAGGCACACACAAGTTTGCCAGAGCTGTGTCAGAGATGTGAAGAACCTTAAACTACTCCATACTGAGGGTTGCATCCCTCAGCCTGCCCTGCCCTGTGTTTAGAACAAACATAATACTCGGGTAGGAGAGAGAAAGAAACAAATAATTACAGCAGCTGCAGTTCACATTCTTTAAAAGACCAGGTTCTTCCTAGCACAAAATTCCTAAGTCTATTAGTCATCTTAAAAGTGTTGAGGGACCTGTGGGCCTTTTTGTTGTTGTTGTGTCCCCCCCACTAACATAATCTCATTTGGTTTTTCAGGAATGCAGAGAATTGCCCCGGAGTCTCCTGCACAGAATTCTTTTCCTGACCAGAGAGAGGAGGATTTCTATGGCAGAATGGCTAGCATGGTATCTGTGTTTCATACACTTCAGCAAGTGCCAGCTGCACTGCAGCTGTATGCAAAAACAAGTGTATACTGGGGCTCTGTCTTGCTCTGCAGCAATACTTGAGGCTTGGTTTTTCTTTCCCACTGCCCTTCCCCTTCAGTAGAGTGAAAAAGAAGTAGTAGAAAAAATTTAGCTGTACCTTGTAACTTTCTTCTCTAAAAATAATTACTATTTAAACAAAGGTGGAGGGGGGATATCAGGCTGTTGTCTGAACAGTTTAACTGATCTTTCTCTGCCCTCCTCTCCCACCTCCCAGCATGATTCTTCATAGCCAGAAGAACTCGTAATATACCTTAGCAAGTGAGGCCCTAAAGAACAGTTCTGTGACTGTTTTAAAAGCACAATATTCACCTCCACTTGTAATGGCTGGAATTGTGGAAAGTGTTTATCAAAATCCCAACCCTCTTTTTCAAATATATAGTATTTTCACTGTTTAAATATCACTGAAGTTGTCTCCTGGCAAGTCAGTTTAGTTTAAACATTTTTAATAGGGATACATATGGCAACTGATAAAAGGTGAAGAGGCTTTTTAACTAGAAATTAACCATACTTATACAAGAAATAGTGAATGTTGTTTTTATATGCTTGAGTTGCTATACAAACATTAGAAGAACAAACTAATGTGGGAGGAAAAAGTGCAGTAGCCACTTCCTGGTGCAGTATTTCTGTATCTTTCCTCTTGTGGACTAGTTGGCCTGCCCAGCAGTGCCCTGACTTAATTCTTTTTAATGGACCAGTTCCATGATAGTGCAATTGCTTGGCCAGACTTCAGCTCTTTTTCTGCACCTTCTGTATGTCAGAAGAGATAGAAGTACCCAAATAATCAGCTTGAATGTCTTTAATTGTGTGAGAATTCTTGATAACAAGTGAATGTTGTGTCAGATATTTAGCTGCTTGCTGCTTATGCATGTCCTGGCTTTGTATCTAACCAGGCACCAGGACGAAGATCCAGATCTGCATCTCAGTCTTCAGCACATATGGTATGCCACGAGCAGGCTGCTTCTTTCACTAAATCTTCTTTTTTATTTATGTTTGGTTTTATGTGCTTTTGTATCTCTTTTTGTAACTTTTCAAAGGAGGGATTTGCTTAGTAAGATTAAATTTAATCTGTTGATCCATTGCTCCAGGAGTGACAACTTTGTACTTTCCTGTATATTTGTAATACAGGGCTATGGGCGAAGATCCCGAACGACTTCAGAGTCCTCTGCTCATTCTGTGGGACGAGAGAGATCGAATTCTGCAGCAAAACAGCCCTCTCCTTCTCCCTCTGTTCCTGCAGGGAAAGAGACTAAAAAGGAAACAAAAAAGGAGGCAGCACCTAGAAAGGTAAACCAAGAAAGTACTGTAGCTGGATGGGATCTGTTAGTGCATGTGGCAACTCCTGCTCTGGGTGCTGATTTCAGAAGTCCTGACTAAACTGCTTGCTATTTATTAGGTGCAGCTCTGGCTCAGAGTTGAAGTCTCTAACAGAAAATGAATTGTTGCGTGGATGTTTCTTTTAATCTGTTTTCTTTTAGTTCTCCCAAGACTGTGAAGACAGTCTTGAGAAAATTAACTGAATAGATGTGTTTATTTTTAGACTGGTGCAACCTGGTTTCGCTGGCTGATGGGAAAAGGAAAGAATGAAGCTCACCTTCCAGATGACAAGAACAAATCAGTAAGGCCCCTAAATCACAGAAACCTTTATACATTTTAATTTGTTCAAAAGGGTTTCCTGGATGGCAGATGAATGTTGTCTTGACAAGTAAACAAATGTGTGTAAAGCTATCAAGATTCTGCTTATTCCAAGACTGACTGTTAAAAAAAAGGTTACTTTTTGGCGGAGGTGGAAGGGGCTTAACAGCTTTGTTTGAACTCCTAATCCTTGACTCTGATTTTTTTGTAGATTGTTTGGGATGAACAGAAACAACGCTGGGTTAATCTGGATGAACCAGAAGAAGAGGTAAAACTCTGAGTACTCATTATTTGTCCAAGTGGAAAACTGCAATCTGAACTGGCCCACAATCTTCTTTAATCTGTTATTGGCTCTTAAGAGCTGCCTTTTACTCAATTTGGATTAAAATGTGGAACATCTTGAAACTAATCAACAGGTTACATGTTCTTGCAGTCTACATCCTTATGGAACCATTTGTGTCTTCAGTTGCTAGTGTGGATCCAGTAATTGTGATTGAATTTACAATGGAGCTTGCTCTAAACTTAGCCTGGTGTATCTCTTCATAGAGGTTGGAATCACCCAGGCAATTGCTTGTTAATCAATTTGCTGCAGACAGAATATAGTGGGGGGAAAGGTAGGAAGAGTTTATAGTTCTGAAAATGTAATGCATTGTGTAGCAAAGAAGATCACATGTCCTGACCATCCTTGTCACTTGAGGTTCTCTCTCAAAACACAAATAAGAACCACTGTTGCGTTTCCTTTTGAAGTGACTGTAGATTAGATGGGTTGTAGAAATACCTTGATATTATTATCAGATGGAAGATGAGGAATACTGGTCTGCACCACAGGATGTCTCTTTATTTTATGTGCTCTGGAGTAAGTAAAGGAAAGGGAAGTCAGATGGATATTTCATTTAAAACTCTTGGTCAGTGATGGTGTGGATTTTTTGTTCTCTGCAGAGCAAGCCTCCACCACCACCTCCAACGGGATTTCCTAAAGTTCCTCAGGCTGCTCCACCTGGACCTGGAGGCGGACCTGGAGGCCCTCCTGGTGCCCCTGTCAACATGTTCTCCAGGAGAGCAGGTAACAGACAACATTGATGCTTCAAGTATGGAAGACTTCAGGTTTTCTCTTGCATAAAATATGAAGGCAGAAGTCTTGCCTTTTCTGGAGTTGTTGGGAACAGTTGGCAACTCATTGATATCATGGAGCTGTGGCTGTTGCTGGCCTTGCTTGTTTCTAGCTTTGGCACTGTGACTGCTGTCACAGCTGTGTCATGACTTGGGTATTACTGTTTATCTCCCTGGAGCACTATTTTCTGAAGCATGGTTTAACCAGCACGCTGTTGGAAGTGGACGTGGGGATGACATGAGGCTTATCTCTGTTATTTCTGGATTTTTCTGTTTTAGCTGGAAGCAGAGCCCGTTATGTTGATGTCCTGAATCCAGGTGGAACCAAGTCAAGTGGTGCTCTTCCAGCACCATCAGACCTATTTGCCCCCTTGGCACCAATGCCAATTCCTGCGAATGTGTTTGTTCCAAACTCAGGTGTGTCATGAGTGGATACAACTGTGAGGAGGCCGTGTGGTTATTTATGGTTATGTGGTTATTAAACTCACTTTTGACTGTGTGTATTATGTAGCCTTTAATGACCGTTTAAGAATGTTCAGTCTCATTAAGTCCAGTTTGGTTTAGAAACAGAATCGGTCTGGGAAGTGCAGTAAAACAGATGGGTCAGTAAACTTGTAACAAGACTAGGGCTTCTTTAAATGACTTTTCTGGGGGAAGATTGGTATTGTAGAAGTCGGATCTGCTGATGTCCCCACTTGTCATTCTGTGAAATCAAAAACCCTGATAGAATGTGTTTGACTAAATCCCATTTCCTTTATAGTTCCAGGGGAACCCCAGCCAGTGGAAGGGAGTGGTGCAGCAGAACATGCACCAGCTGCAAATCAGACCAGCACAGATCCTGCTGCTACTGTGGAACCAGAGGTGGGTTAGATGAATGTCTTGTGTGCATAATTCAAGCTTCTGATTAAAAAGCCCTCATGATTCTGAATAGCAGTTTCATAGCCACAAAACATGTTGTTGTAGGGATGACATTTGTGTATAGTATTTTAATTAAAGAACTGGAGAAGGGAAATAAAAGTGGAAATGGAAGTGGAAAGCCCATGAAGAGTTGCATTGCTGCATTTGGCAGGGTCTGTGGGTGCAGGATATGTGTCAGGAGAGGGATCAAAGAACATACCTGCATGTTTCACCTGGCTTGGTGTACATTTGCTTCTGTGGGATCAAGACAGCAAAATGGGAGCTAGTATCTTAGTAATGAAGATAAACAGAAGTGCATTGTTTTTCTTTAGTACTTAAACCCTGCAACCCTTCCTCCTGGATCTGGACTTCCCGTTGCTAACCCTGATGGCTCCCAGTCAGGCGAGGTAAGGCTTGATTCACAGTCATTAGCAGATTACTTTTGAAACTTATTTTAACCATTAATTTGTAGTGGACTTATCATGGGCCAACCAACAAGTCACTGATGCAGTTGCTGATGACTAGCCGAGATGGAACCATGTGACAGCCTCCAAAACTGTACAGACAAGACCTCTAAGCCCCTATAAGAAGTTCAGCCTCTGTGTCCTATCTGTGGTGTAGTCTTTTTTTTTTCTATGAAGCACACTTTGACAAACCTTTTTCAGAGTAAAATGCCAATAGCAGTTTGAGGATCTCTTCTTGCCTCCGTGCATGCGTGTAATTTCACTAATACTGAGTGCAAGACACGACGAGGAGAACAGATTGCTATGTGCCAGGCAGAGTAACATTACCTTTGTTCCTACTAAATGTTTTCTATAGCTACATAATTTTGTGCTTTAAGAAGTCCTTTTGATTTAAACTAACTTCTGGCTTTACATTTTATTTTGTTCTTTTAACTTGAGGTTGGTTTAACCTTTGGCAGAGACTTTTAAACTGAAATAAAACAACTGAAAGCTTGGGGCAGTGACATGCATGACGACTTTTTTATTTGTGTTTTTTTGTATTTGTGTGTTCTTGCTGTTTTGTAGCTTTCGCGCTCTAGTTCAATGAGTTCATTATCACGTGAAGTAAGCCAGCATTTTAATCAGGTACATGTGGCTGGCCATTCTCATTTATGTTCACTGATTTACTTTCCCCTCCCCTCTTTATTTTGCATTTGCTCAAATACTAATGCTACTGTTAGTCGTTTTCCCCTCTTCTCATTTCACCACGATAACATCACAAGTAACTAATGATGTAGTGTTCCTTTTAACACTCAAACAGGGTCTTCAGAGTTTTTAGTGTTCATGAGAATGCATGTAATCCAGGCATGCTTTTTGTTTATGTTCATGTTTCTAAGAGACTCACTTAATCATTTTGATCAGCTCTTTCCTGGGATACCAAAGTTGTCAGTTGATTTTAAACAGACAAATAAAAACCCCAAACCAAAACCAACAACAAAAAAATACCCTCCTAAAAAAGCCTCACCCAAACAAGACCTTGTCATTCTGCTGCTGCCAGTCTCCAATTGGTAATAACACCAATGCCTGTTTCATCTACAAAAGCCCCTGTAGGAATTAAAGGAATGCTTCATCTCTGCTGTTAGTTCCAGTGCTGTGGGGTCACCATAAAGGGGTGATACAAACTCTTTTTGATATTTCTAAGTAAGGCAAAACTCAACATAGAATGTTTCTTTTGGGGCAAGCCCTCAGGTGTACTAACAAGAGCAGAAGGTACTAATTCAGTGACGTCACACTGGTGTCTTGTTTTGGTTTTGCATGCTTTGGATTTTCAGAGCTATTTACAGTTTGTGCATGTGGTATTGTTTTGCCAATTCCTACATTAAGCAAGTAATACTTAAGATCTGGATGCAAACTGTACCAGCACTTTTGCAGTTGTTACAAATGCTGCGCTGCCCATACTGTTGGCATTAGTACTGTGAATATCTGCTCTGTATGACTAAGCAAACCACCTTTGAGAGGCAGGGGAGCTCTGCAGTTTGTAACTTCAGTCTTTGCTTCCTAGCCTGCCGCTGTGCCGCCCGCGGGGGGACCTTCAGCAGGCGCAGTTCCCTTCTACAATCCTTCACAATTTGCACAAGTGAGTAAAGGCCTTGTTTTTCTTTGAACAAAGCTGTTGAACAAACCCATCACTTTGTTTTATTAGTTTAGTTCTGCCTGTTGCATGTAGAGTGTTAAATGTGTTTGCAGAGCAGCCTAGCACCCGTTTAACAGGGTTTGTGTTCAGAACTTCAGTGCCAACTTTGTGTTTTGTCTCCAGTATGAGCTTTTACAGAACGTTTTTTATCCCTGTTCTCCTTTTTCAGTCTCCTGCAGTCACTGGAAGTTCAAGACCGGGAAGAATTGGGCAGAGAAAGTATCCAACATTGAAGTAGAATACAGTGGCTTTGTGTCTGGGATTCTCACTCGTGTTCTGAGTATGCAAAGAACTGTTCAATTATGGCACATGGTACCAGAACTAGCTGCAGGTGACGTGACAGAGATTGAATGATGGGTGATTTTTTTCATGGGTCTCCCTGCTTGCACCTCATCTACTCAAACCATTACCAAACATGAAATATATGTAACTTTTCCTTTTTAAAAACCTGGCTAGAAATAGCTTTGCTGTGGTGAAGAATAGACACGAGGGAGGAAAGAGTTGTTGTCTGTTACAAAAAACTATTTGTAAATTGCATAGGCAATTTATTCCATGAGTTTATTTGAAACCTACTAGTGTGACCTTTGAATGCATAGTTTCAGGGATTCCTTAATTTCTGAAGGATTCTCCCCTCCCAGTGGGGGAAAACCATGTCCACATTGTAACATAACACTCTGTGGCCTTAAGAGGACCATGCACAATTGTAATACTTACCCAACAGGACTGGGTTTCTCAGTGTGAGGCACTGGAGATGTTCCTCTGGGAAATGCCTCGTGCTGGTTGGTTCTTTGGAGCAGGGAGGGGGCCACGGCTCATCCAAATAAATTGACCTATATGGAATGAAAACTGTGACTGTAATCTAATACTAATTTGATTTGGATCTTACCTAGTCTGTATGTAGTTTGTGGTTTAGACTACTTGTAAAGCAAATTGTATAGTGGGGAAGAAGCTCTCTGTATAATAGCCAATGCTGTACTATTTGACGAGTGAGTGTTTTTAAGTGCAATATGGTTACTTGCTTTCTCTCAAACTGCTGGCACTGTGCAATTAAGGTGGTAACAGCTTGGAAGTTAAGTTTCTTTTCCTGTCGAGTGCCAGAATCAGTGTAATACTCTGTTCTTGAATTTCCATTACTAAAATAACCAAGGTCTTAAATAGCTAACAGCCGAATTTCAAACATACTAAAAGTAGATGGAATAGACCTCTACTGAAGGACTTTAAAATCTTTAGATTTAATATAGGAAATCTTGCAAACCATGATATGCAACATTCGTATTCACTGAAGACTCTGAATTATCTGCAAAGAGAGAAATAAACTTTAAATATTTATTAAATCATTAGGCCATATTTTATTTAGAACTTGCCACCAAACTCCTTGATTTTACTTGAATTTCTGCCCATGAGTAGAAATAACGTGAATGTGAAATTGCCAGTGTCAGTCCCCCATAGTTTTCTCTTTTCTTTTCCTGAATAATGCCACCTTTCCGAGATCTCGATAGCCTTACCTGTGTCCTAAAAGGTTTGTATGTAGCCGAAGTAAAAATGCTGTTTGGGAGGGATTAGAAACCTTTGCGTAATGGTCCATACTCCAGGCGTGGGCAGCAGCAGTCAGTGTGGTTTACTTTTCTCTAATCAAAACCTAGTCAGACGCTTGGCTTTCCTCTAGCCTGGCCAGGCCGCCGGTTGTGTTCTCCTTTCAGTAGAGACTGCCAAACAACTTCTTTCACGAAGGCTTCCTCTGAGCGGGGAGCGGCTCTTTCCTCAGTGTAAGATTTGACACTGTAAATTCTTAAATAAAATATTTTGCGCTCTGGAGCACTTTCACATTTTACTTCATCTTGTGGTTATTGCTGTAGCGAGCTGGGTCAAGCAACCTCCCCTCTCTGTTTGGAATTGATTTGTAATGGAAAGGGAGCGTGACCTGCCCTGTGCATGGGTGTCAGCACTGAAGTGAGCGAAAGTGAGGTTCTAGCCTTGATGTTAGCGACTTTTAATTGGTCTGGAGTGTGAAATGCTTTGGTTTAAGCTGTTTATTGAGTCGCCGCCTCAAACCACAGCGGTTTTACGAGTGATGCATGTACCGCTCCC